ACGTTGCTTATTTGTTGTAACATTCATGTTACACTTAGTTCAATCAGTGCACAGACGCGTGAAAGTCGAGCGGCTATGGATGATGAACCTCGCAGCACAGGGGTGCCAAAGGAAAGACACTTGGAGGAGAGCGCGGCTTTTAGATACCACTGAAAGCAGCGGTTGACTGGCGCCTTCCGCGGACAACACTGCCCGCCGGAGGGGCGGGCGTCGCGCTACAGCAGCGGTAGCAGCGGCGCATGTGAAACGAACGCGCGTCCGCGCGTCCTCCCACCGCTCATCGCCGCGACCGCCACCGCTCGGTCACTCCCATGTGAAACAGGCTTAACAGCTCCACTTCGACCCGAGCGCAGTCTACGACGGCGTGATGACGTGATAAAAAATGCCATCCTAGGATGACATCGGGGATGAAGCCAACACATGAAATTCAATGGTGTACAACACGTCTCGAATTACTACTTTTGCAGTAAACGCCGCGATGAGCTCAATTTGCTGGGTGGTCGCAGTGCTAAGAGAAACCACGGGAAAAAGCAACGTCACTTTACGAAGAAAGCGCAGATTCTTTTACTTATCAAAGATATCGCGGCACCAGTATCGATGAGTGCAAGTGCTCGTACACCTTCGACAATTACATTGATCAGATTGGCGGGAGACAGGCCAGGGCTTAAATGATTAGACAATGATGCAGCTCGTGCTTCCGGAGCTGCGGCAGTTAGTTTTCCGTCTCAATGAAGGCCGGTTGTCGACGCATATGCGATACAGAACGATGACTTGTTGAAGGAGAAGGCAAGTGGGAAGTAGAACGTCGAAAAGTCGAGGTTCGGGTGCCGGAAGCAGCTTGCGCGTCACGTTCGTTAACATAGGTGGCACGTGAGGTGCGTGGTATGGAGGCCGAAACAAGTAGTCAGGGCATCTTGGTGCGTTAACTACGAAGCGCCGTTAACTGCGAAGGCCACGTGCAACGTGGCCTGAAATTCTGCAAAAGTAACATATGGACCGGTTGCCAGCAGTACGCCAAGTTTTCCGGCGTGCTGTTATCTAGCTGGAAACGGCGCGGTAGGCGGTCGCACAGGTTGTGGCGTATACAATGGCAGACGAGACGAAGGCATTGCCGCGACGGCCGGATAAGTCAGTGGCGCGGCAACAGGTGTTGGTGGAGAGGCAGACGTAGGTAATGGCAACGCCTCAGAGACCTGCTCCTGAACAGCCTGTCTCATGGTCGGCGTTAGGTGGTTCGTTGGTACTTCGGTGGTCGGCAGATACGAGAGACACGAAAGCTGTCGTGCGACCTCTTCACGTACATATTCATTTATCTGCTCCAGCAGGGTGCTGTCACCACCGATGGCCAGGGCAGCGAGAGAGTCGTCTGCTGTCGTCGACTTCCGAGCTGATGCACGTTGTTTTTGAAACTCTTCCAAGCTCTGGCACAAGGTCACAAGTTCGGATACGGTACTTGGGCCCTTCACCGGCATCATTTGATAGGCATCATCGTTTATGCCTTTCAAGATACGCCTGATCTTGTCTTGGTCGGTCATTTTGAGGGTTAAAGCACCGGCATAAATCGATAACATCTTCAATATAGCCTGTGAAGCTTTCACCTTGCCTTTGTGCACGTCCGTTTAGGCGCTGTTCAGCACGCAGCTTGCGCACTGCGGGGTGATCAAACACAGCTGCAAGGATTGTCTTGAAAGCGGCCCTAGTGGTACATTCAGCTAGATGATTTGTGAAACACTGGCAGGCGACATCTTTGAGATAAAATGGAACATATTCCAAGGGCTCGTCCCACTTGTTGGCGGTGCTCACCTTTTCAAGCAGATGCAACCACTCTTCCACATCTCGGTCCTCAGTGCCGCTGAACAAGGGGGGATCCCGTTGGCACAGGGTGGTAGGCATGATGACCAGTTGAGATTGAGCCGTGCTTTGCTAGGTGCGCCTTGCTCGGTCGACTGATCAGGCATTGCTGATGCAGGGGGCAGCTTCCGGCTTTAAAGTTCCAGATTTGCGCTACCAGCACACTTGCTCCACTTTTCTAGGGAGTTTAATAAAGACGCCAGTTAGAAGGCAGACAGCCGGTACGCTCACAAATACAGTCCAGCGTCTACAGCTCATGCACAAGCCCGCGCTTCACATCAGAGATGATCCCACTGGTCATTGCCTTGCGAATTTTCCACTACGCGAGCAATAAGAAAGGCGCTTTACCTCGCAAAGTACACTGCTATTTGTCGGAAGGAAGTTTTTTTTTTGACCAATGTTGTGCAGCCACTGCTGCTTGTGCAAGGCTTGAGTTTACTTTGGGATATCATAAAAAGTGCGTAACGATTTTCACTGTGGTTGTTGCAGTCATAGGTGCAACCGCATGGCTTAGAGCCCGCACAAAGTACATAAACAAAGCGCGCACTACGTCTTTACGCAGAGCATCGGCAAAACATGACGCGAGTGAAAGAAAAAGAAAACACAAGCAAAGTGCAAGATACACGCATCTTTAAGGGCACCCGTGAAGGAGATCAATCATCGCGCAGAAAAAGTGTCGGAAACCGGGAGGATGTGAAGGGGTCGAGAAGATAGAGAGGAGGTCGAGTGCGTGGCGGCGAGTACAGTGAATGGCGGTAATTTCACAAAATCAAGGGGCTTTAGTTAAGCCTAGCGGCCACAGGCAATACCCGGTGCTCAACACTGGTGTTGTCACCTAGAGGCCGTCTGCAGAGGCTTGCTTCAAAGGGGGTTGGCTAAAGGAACGTCGGCACTTGCTGTGAGCAGCGGCAGCATCCCAAGTAGCCTCCCTCGAAGCTTGTGAAGGTATTCGTCTTCTTCTCAGGATGCCTGCGTCACATGTTGCCGAATCCCTTTCCTGCCGATTCCGTCACCAGTGCGTTTGCTGGTGATGCAACTTTCTCTTGCAAAGCCCACGTCGACTATGCCAGCTCATCGCTGCTCGCGCACTAATCACACCTAGGGTCACGCGCCTTTATCTTTCCCGGCCACTTCATCGCTCGTGCACCTTTTTTTCTCTCCTTCGTCATCCTTTTTTCAAATTTGTCTTCAAATATAACAGGTGTTATTCAAATCAAACATGCGTCCCTTCATCGTCCTCATCTTCTTATTTTGTCGAATATTCATGACATAGGTCCCTTAAAAAAGTTTATTTTTTTAAAAACTGCTACCTCTTTTTCTTGATCTTGTAGTTGCATTCGCTTGCCAAGTGTTCACTTTAAAACAACTCCCACGTCACAGTGGTCACCAAAAAGCACTTTTCCAAACACGTCATGTAATACTGCACTGCACTGTTAGGCATGTTCACTGCATTATCGTCCGTAAAACTTTTCGCAACACTCAAAACTTTAACTATACATAAGTGCAGCACTCCCAGTTCATATTGTTGCATAATTCGTAGTGTAAGAAATTCGGCTTTAAAGAAAGTCATCTATCGACACACTTTGAACACATTCCACAAGACAATTTTTTTGTCATGTAGGCAATCACGAAATTGAGACAACATGTTTAAATTTGTGCTTTTTCACGTTCTGCATCTTTTTCAGTTTTTTCGTACGTCTACTCTCGCCCCACGGTTCTAGACGCTCGACACAGCTGATGCCTCTGTTTCTTTTACTCCGACGCCCCTTCGAATTAGCTGTCGTATGTAACGCTTTAACTCTCGCTGCATCGGCCTTTTGCCCCACTAGTTTTCTGGCCCGATTATCAAGGCATAGCTTTAGCAATATCGGAATGGTTTTCTTCCATCTCACGTCTGCGTAGCGTTGCACCGCTCTGCTGGTGCCCATGACTGGTTCCCTGGTGCCCATGACTGGTTCTCTCTCCGTCTACAGCTCTCTAATTTTCTCTTACTTTCTTGCGTTTGTCAACGCACGTGTGAAACATCTCATTCTTTTTTGCACCCTCTGGAATAATCATTCGTGAATACTTCGAACTTTCTCTGTCAATATGTCTGCCCAACCACAAAAATCGGCTTACTGCCTCTTTGCTCCTTGCTTTGATGTTTTCGCTTCTCCAATGCACCATTATATTGCATCCACGTCCTCTACTCCAACCATCGCGTCACTGCAATTGTATGCGGCATCTAATCTCTTTTCCTGCCACTATTAGGCTTGGCAACACCGCAAACATGGTCACGGCAACTCCCCTGCGACATCTTTTTGTAGTGCAGGCGCTGTTATGGTCTCGCGCTATGCCATGCGACGACGTGCGACCAGGTTACCCGCCGGAGGCCTTCCTGCTCCCGGTATGAATGCGCACTGCACGTAGCCCAACCTCGCCTGCTCAACCACATCAACAACGAACACAGGATACCTCAAGTTTTCCACATCAGCACCCACTGCCTGAGCCAATGCACTGGACATCCCCACCAGCTCACGTGACCACAACAACTGCTGATATCCGGATTACGTCCTCCTCGCCACCGGAACGCATATATTCATTCAGGACCTGCGCGGCCCCCATTGGGCTTGGGTACACCGAAACCATGGTCACGGCAACTCACCTGCGACACCTTTTTGTATTGCAGGTAAAAAAAATCAATATTCATTATATACACGTCGCACTCGTTATGAGGCGCTCCTGGTGTTGCCAAGCCCAAAGTACTGTTTCGAAATTGCAGTTGAGTGTGCACATGTCATCAAAGAGATAATAGCGCTGCCAGGTGACATTGAACTGAACCCAGCTCCTTACACTCGTTCCGGTGAGACGCAAGTATCTGGTGCCTTACTCCTGGTTCTTAAAAGACTCCAGTCTGGCTAAGCTTCCATGCTGCAAGATCTAAAATCCATTCAGCAGAATCTATCCCAGAACAACAGTGCTAATAGAGATAGAGAGAGAGAGAGAGAAACTTTATTTGCGCATACCGCGGAGCATTCCAAATGGTCGGGCCCCTACTCCAGGGCTCCGCTGACCCTAGCCATCATCTCTACTCGTTGGACCAGCCAGCGCTGATCAACAATGGCCGAGCTGGACAGCAGCACCTCCCATTGTTCCTCTGTGTTGTTCATGTACTTCCAAAGTACATATACTAAAATTGGAATGATACAGAGAAGATTAGCATGGCCCCTGCGCAAGGATGGCACGCGCTATTAGAGAGATCAATAAAAGGCTGACTATAACAAAATGTGATTGCGAATCGATAATAAGTATAGAAGAGCAAATCGACGATATTCGGTTACTTTCTGATAAAAATGCAAAAGATATAGCGACAATCAGTGTGAGATAAGACGACTCGGAGGACCGAGCGTGCCGTTCTTACTTCGTATTTTCAGGTTTTCCGGATCGCCAGCGTGAAACATGGGCAGAATCTGAGGTTTCAGTGCTGCGATTCTGCAGAAAAGAACTAAACACCACTATTGAACATATGTAAATCGAGATAGCCCATAGACTCGGGAAACACAAATTATACAAAAGCCGCCCAATCATTGTTAGATTTGCTCATTTGACGAAAGATGAAATTCTGTCATGCGCCTCTAAACTGAAGGGTTCCAATTACCGAATATCTGAAGATACTCTCCCAACACACTACAAGCAAGGAAACATCTTGCTGAATTCGGAAGAGCCCAACGGCAATCGTACAGACTTCGACATGACAAGTTAATCGTTGGTAGCAATACTTACAGGTACAAGCACAACGCTCAAAAGGTTGTACAGCGCCCTTTAAACGCTTAAGCCCCAGCCATGCCACTTCACGAAGAAAGTCTTTTTTCGTTCCTAAATACCAACATAAGAAGCATCCTTCGTAAAGCCGACACTCTTCAAAGCCCAATTATTATAACGGAATTCGATTTGTTCGTGATTAAAGAGACATGGGTTAACCCTTCTATTACCAACACTGAGTTGGTACAGCTTTTTCCAGATTTAAATGTGTTTCGACGAGATCGCACAATTAAACGGGGTGGTGGCGTACTAATATGTAGCCATAAAGATCTTCAGTGTAGTTAAAATAAGACATCATCGTGCTTAGAAATCATGCTTGTTCTTTGCAATGCTTGACATCCTCCCACAATAATCGGTGTTTGCTGTCGTCCCCCTGGTAGTGACCTCCTTTTTGTATCGGAATTCCACGGGGCTATTCACTTCTTAACTGAATCTTATCGAAATTTCCTGATACTGCTTTTCGGCGACTTCAATTTTCCAGCAATACCTTGTACTAACCTAGCATGTGTGGCTTCCAAAAACAGTATAGAGAGCGATTTCGTCGATTCATATCTAACGTTTGGACAAGCGCAACTAGTCAATGAACCTACGCGCGGCAGTGATAACTTCCTTCATATTCTTGACCTTGTTATAAATCGTCCCGCCGCGATGGTCTAGTGGCTAAGGTACTTGGCTGCTGACCCGAAGATCGCAGGATCGGATCCCAGCTGTGACGGCTGCATTTCCGATGGAGACGGAGATGTTATCGGCCCGTGTGCTCAGATTTAAATGCACGTCAAAGACCCCAGGTGGTCAAAATTTCCGAAGCCCTACAATACGGCGTCTCTCATAATCTAGTGGTGGTTCTGGGACGTTAAACCCCACATATCTAACTACCTTGTTCTCACTTCTGAGCCTGAAAGAGTGTCCCAGATGACGTTTCTATCAGGACTCAGTGAGCACTTAGTAATCCATGCGTCTTATTCTTGTGAACTACACCATTAAACAAAAACAACGAAAATATACCGCTGTATGGTAAAGGCATTTATTATGCTATAAACTGAGACCTCGAGCCATTCGCTGCTTTCTTTTTTATCGACCTTTCAAAGCGCTTGGTCGAAGCTAAGTGACTGCTATTCAGAAACAAAATGTTAGATCTATTCACCAAGCATGTGCCCACGATTACCGTAACCGAAAAAAAAGTCATCCCCGTGGTTTAACATCACATTGAAACGCCTAAATAAAAAAAAAGAAACGACTCTTTTGATCGGCAAAGCGGTCCAATAGCGCATTTGCGTGGAACAGGTACTACTATGCCGAAAAATAATTCGATAAACTTGCTAACAAAGAAAAACTTTGATTTTTTCACAAACATTACCAGCTATGTTAAGCAACAATGCCAAAAAATCTGGAACACAATTAACCCCAGTACCTTCCAACCATTAGTACTGCACAACAAACAAAACCATCCGAATTCCCGATAACGAGGCCACCGGACAACTTAACAGCTTTTTTTTCTTCCGTAATTACCAATGAACTTGTCGATAACTTGCCTTCATTTCTTAATCTCAACCATAGCGAGATGCCGGACGTCACATTCTGCTCAAACGAGATCGCAAAACTAACCAACTCACTGAAACTCACATCTTCATGCGGCATCGATGGTATCAACGCAAAAATGCTGAAAAACACAAAATCAATTGCTAGTACACTACTCTGTCATATTTTTCAGCAGTCAATATCTTCAGGAGTGGTGCCCGAAGACTGGAGAGTGGGTAAGATTGTTCCAGTGCCCATAATAGGTCCTTATCTCTTTGCAGCAGTTATCGCCACATTTCCCTTACTAGAGTTTGTTGGAAAATAGTGGAGCATGTGATTTACTCTACCATCGTCAAGTACTTAGTCAGCAATAACTATTTTCATTCCAGTCAACACGGTTTTCGCTCAGGATTTTCTTGTGACACACAACTAGCTTTATTTTCTCCTGATATCAGTTCCAGCCGCGACATAAACATACCTGTTGACGCACGCTTCTTAAACTCTGAAAAAGCATTTGACAAAGTCCCGCATCAACGGCTACTTCTAAAGCTTCCTCGTCTTAACATTAATACAAATGTATTTATTTCGATTCGCTGTTTCTTTACGAATCGCCAACAATTTCTGCATGCTAACTCCGTCTCATCTAGCCATTCCTCTGTAATCTCTGGTGTGCCGCAAGGTACAGTGCTTGGACCATTACTTTTTCTCATTTACATCAATGACTTTCCATCAAACGTCTCTTCAAGAATTCGCCTCTTTGCAGACGACTGCGTCGTATACCGTCCTATAGCAAACAGCGCAGACACTGCTACACTTCACAACGACCTCAATCTAATTGTATCCTTAAGTGATAAGTGGTTATTGTCTTTAAACACAAAGAAAACTTCAATGGTATCTTTTCATTGCAGGCCCCATCGCCAGTCAGCAGAAAATGCCAGTCTCACCCGCTGAATCTTACAAATATTTTGGTGGCACATTTTCAAGTAACATTTCCTGGTCAGCCCAAGTGACTAACATAGCCAACTCCGCGAATCGCACTCTGGGTTTTCTACGTAGACACTTAAGACTTGCGCCCCCTCAGTTAAACTAATATCGTATGTAACACTTGTTCGTACAAAATTAGAGTATGCATGTTCTGTGTAGGATCCCCACCAATCTCATTTATCCAACATTCTCGAATCGATTCAAAACCATGCTGCGCATTTTATCTACTCTGAATATACCTGCAATTCAGGAGTTTCCAAACTTGAAACTCGTGCTCACCTTTCTAATCTAGAATTACGACGTCACATAACTCGACTACGTCTTTTTCACAAATTTTCTAATGCCCCTATTGATGTTCCAGTTATACTGCCAGTCCATCGCTCATCAAGCCGCACAAACCACTCAAGCGCAGTGAATCTTCCACCAGCCCAAAGCACTGCAGATTTTCGCTTCTTTTTTGTGACAACCGCATGGGACTGCAACTATCTGCCTGCAACTACTGTGTACCGCCCAGACCCGCATCAATTCAAGATTGCCCTCGAATCACTTTTTTATTCTGTAATTATTAGCCATCCATCATGTAATACCCCAGCTGGGGCCTTTGTGGTATTGAAAATAAATAAATAAATAAATAAATAAATAAATAAATAAATAAATAAATAAATAAATAAATAAATATGACCTGTCTCGCTGGCATTCAACTCCTGCTCGCTAACCTTACAATCAACTGAAACATAACAGAGAACACCACACAAACTAATTTCTGTTGATAACTCCTCTGTGTCCGTTTATAAATTCAGTCTACCTGTGGCTTGTGCCAATCGCCTTGCCGCTGTAGGGACTGCTTTTTATTAACGCATATTTCTCGCACTTCAGCCGTTACTATGTGAAGCTCGGCTTGTTTCTGCTACAACTCTCAATGACGACATTCTCTTTCTTTGTGAACGCGTGCACTGTCTTCTTCGATAAGCGTTAAGCCCTGTTCTTTATTGAACTTCGGTTACCGCATGACCACTAAGATATTGCACCAATCCATCACCGCAAAAGCCGATACTCAAAGACTAGACAGGAATTCAATCCTGACAGGCTCAGCAATTTGTTACGGATTACGGGCTGCAGCTGCAGCGGGCGATGGACTGAGACAAGTCTCCGTTAACAACAAACAACATTTAATGGACCCACACGGAACAATATATACAAAAATGTACAAAACCAATACTAATAACTTCAAATTCAAGCTAGGCCCCACTACGCTAAGACTCCCACCGTGCTACACGCTATACACTGTCCTCTAAAAAGTCAGATATCTCTAGCCTCATAGTCCCGCTCAAGATTGCGCTGATCTACCTTGACTAAGCCGATTCGGGGCTCGTCAATGTCTGGGATTAGTCCCGCTGCGTCCTCTCAGGCTCCTCGATGCTATCGACGAACGTCGCCATTCCTTGCCACTTGCTTGCTCGCTTGATCGTTTCTTTCGTGGCTCTCACCCACTAAAGGAGTTTGGCCGAGAAACCGGTGGTTTATGCAAGTCAATACCTTTACGTTTTTCAGGCTAAGGGAATTGGATTACTTTGTTTTGACTGCGAAATTATTTGGCACAATGTAAAAAAGTGGGGTGAAAGAAGAGAAATATTAGATTGTGTTAAATATCTAAGGTGTAATCGTTATATGAAATTCTTCTGAATGTTTATACATTACAGTGTAACAGCTAAATAATAAATGGTAGATTGACTAGTAAAAATCAAGAGCTGATCAATGGCTCAGCAAGGTAATCTTCTTGTGTTACATAGGAATTCGCAGAGAGGCCCGCAGATGTTCCTGTCGCTGTGTCTTAATGAAGCGGCCCGAAAAGACAAAATAATAGGGGTAGTAAGTAATATTTCTTCATGTTCATTACAGCTTGCTGCCGACGTGGTCGCCCATCGTCGTCGTCGTCACCTGATGCTGGTG